ACTTTACAAATATCATTGCCATACCTTCATCATGCCATGCATTCGATAAACTCGTAAAATAATGTCTTAAGCCAAAAGAATATTAAAATTATTTATTATTCACCGTTTTATTAACTAACGGTTAGGCTATTTTCTCACTGAATTTAAAATTAAGCAATTGCTAAAATAACTAATCTACAATTTGAAAACGGGAAAAAGAATATTTTTATTCAACCAATGATATAACTTTGCCGTCTTCTGTTGTTAAAGTGAACTCCACAATTTTCCATTTTCCTCCATCTTTTAATTGTCGAATAGAATAAAATCTAACAATACCCTTTCCTATATTTATTAAATGTGATGGATGAAATAGTCTGTGATTAATATAGTCGTAAAATTTTCAAAACAAATAAAAGAAATTTTATTTACCATCATTCCCTTTTACCCAATATTTAAAATCCACAACTCCTTTCAAATGATTAATATCACCTGAAATCCAAGGAAATGTCCATTCTGAAGGGAAGGGCCACCATTGAGGTGCCGAAAAATTGATATTTTTTCCTAAATGTTGTATAGCTTTTGGATTATGTTTTACATCAAATAGGCTTCCTTGGACTGTACTACTATTTATGCGTTGATAATTAAATGATAATGCGATGGCTGTAGCCCAAAATGAAATGCCGATTATACCATAAGTTATATAACGTGGTGTTTTTGAGGTTATCTCAGGAAGAGGACGAATCTTGATTTTTGTAGTGATTCGTTTTTTTTCTGAGGTTGTTAATGGTGAGGTGGTAACAGGTGTTGAAAAGAAACGATGATTTATATTTTTTAATCGAGATGACGAATAAGATTTATTTAAGATTATAGGAATGTGTTTGATGTCATGGCATGATGAAGGTATGGCAATGATATTTGTAAAGTTTAAGCGAGAAAAAATTCGTAAATTTAAAATCATTTTCCTAGAAAGATTGTCGTTATCTATCCAATACTTTTTAAGTGATATCGGAAAATTTTTACATGTGACAAATTTACTTTTTGTCACTGTATTTTAAAAATTCTGGAATAATAAAAGAGAATAAGCGGGTTTAAATCGAAAACTAATTAGAAA